CCTAAAGGCCTTCCTTTATGATTGAATGTCTTAGTTCACCCTTTTGAGCTTAATATCCCTTTTCTTGAAATTACCTCATTATAAAGCCTTGACTGAAAAACCAATTTTTACCATTCAAAAGATCAAAGGCATAATGAGTTTAATCAAGAATGAGTTTTAAAACTAAGTTTGGGGTGGCATCCAGATTTTAATTGCTTGAGGACAAGCAATGTTCTAAGTTTGGGGTGGGAAATAGCATGCTATCTAAGTTGGAGTTCAACAAACCAGAAAGAAAGAACAAAAGTGCTGCAGCAAAAATGAAAAATTTATGAAGCCAAGCTGTGAAAAGAACAAAAATGTGAGTTCAAAAGAAAAGAAGTGCAACAAAGTGCTGCAGAAAAAGAAAAAGAATATCAAAGAAGAAGATAGTGACTGAAAGCAAGAAAAGAGATGAAAACTCTACTGCAAGAAAAATTCTGTTTGCTGCATAAGTGAGAGAATTAAGGAGGAATAATGCAGATCCAGGCTAGTTTTAAAACAAATCACTCAAAATGCCTCTGATCTTTTGAAATTGCATGTATTGTTTTCCATTTTCTTTGATACCTACCTTAACCTTAGCCTTGTTATAACCTGAAAAAGTCCTCTAGATGTGTGATTAATTGTACTAAGCAGAGGAGATGGAGAAATTGGGCAAGCATATGGTAGAGTGCAGTGAAATTGATGATTTAGAGTGAAAACAGCACCTAAACACTGTTGAGTGATGAGAGAAACACTTCCAAGTGAGCTGTGATCATGTTGATTAATTGTACTCACATGAATTTTGATGAAATATATGAACTTAGGTAGCAATTCTTACTCAATGATGATTATGCAGTAGAAATATCATGATGAGTATTTGGATGAACAACTTGATTGAAAATTTTACAGAAAACACAGAATTAGAAATTAGAAAAATCTGAAATAAGCAGTTTATGAACTGAATTTGAAAATGGAGGAGCTTACCCTTGGTTTAGTTTGATTTGCTTGAGGACAAGCAAAAATTCAAGTTTTGGGTGGTGATGAATCCATATTTTTACTGATATTTTAGCATAATTCTAGCTCATTTAATAAGGAAAATATATGAAGAAAGCAGAAAAACTCAGAAAAAGAGAATGATTGAAAGTTTTATTTCAATTTGTAGTTATTTTCGCATTTGTAGAATTTATGCTTAGTTCTTAAGGAATTTATCTTGTTTTTGAAGGAATAATCTGAGCAAAAGTCATGGAAATGGATTATCAATGGAAAGGAAGAGGAAGAACGGCAATGTTGGACTCCAAAATACAAGAATTATGGGATGTAGGCTGGGCGTGATCACTATTGTTAGTGAAAGTGATCATTCCAGAGCCTAAATGAGAAGAGGAGCCTGTGCGTAATCACTTTTAGTTACAAGAGTGAGCGTTGCCAGTGTGCGTTATCATTTTCGCCAGCGAAAGTGAACATTCCAGAGAAGACTCTATTCCTGAGGAGCTGCGCGTTGTCACTTTCGCCAACGAAAGTGAGCGTTCCAGAGACACTTGTATCAGGACAGCATGTGCGTGGTCACTATTACTCACGAAAGTGATCACGCGCAGCCCTTGACCTCCTGCGTTGCCACTATTATGAATAAAAGTGAATGTTCCAGAGAAGCCTTCAACTCTGCAAGTTGCGCGTGGTTACTCTTGCTCTTGAAAGTGAACACGCGCACTACATAAAGCTTCTGCGTGGTTACTCTTGTGAAGAAAAGTGACAACGCGCAGAACTGGGGTTTCTATATATACATGATTGAAGCGCGAAAACTGGATCTTTTGCTCATTTTTTTGTTTTGTTAGTTAGATTCTCGTTGAGAGAGAGTGGAGAGAAGATTGGGGTCGAAGCTTGAAGCTCCAAGAAGAGGGATCGGATTGGAGCTCGTGGCCATGGCTGCTCTGCATTCTTCTTCATCTTCTTCTTCTTCTTTCTCTGTTTTTGTTGCAATGTGTGCTTAATTTCCCATAGTTAGGGGTTTATGGAACTCGAATTGATGTGTTGATTCGACTTTATCTTCTGAACTTTAAGTTCTTGGATTAATTGAGTTGTTAATTTTGCTTTTCATGCAATCTTTGAATGGAAATTCATTTGATTAATCAAGAGGAATCTTTACCAATGGGAATTGGATTGTTTGCTCTGATCTAAATTGGCAACCAGAGTTTAGGGATTCTTAGGGATAAGGAGACCTAATTCTGCAATCTTATAGTTCTAATTCTTAATGCAACTTGAAATTGAATCTCACCTAAGGGATTAGGGAGGTTTAGTGGATTGTTAGGGTCAATGAGTTAAGGAATTAATCTTTGGCTATTACTATGCGAAACTGATTGTCAATTAACCAAGTTCTTGAATGTTCAAAGGCATAATTGAATTAATACTAATATTCTTGTGAAGTAAATTCCTAACTATTCTTCATTCCTATCTCATTTCATTACATACTCTATTTTTCTGCAAGTTCTTTACTTTAATTGCTTTTGTTTACTACTATTATATGTTACAAATCTCATTCCAAAGTTCGTATGGCTCAAATGGTTATAATTCTTTGAAGTGGTACTTGAAACTTAAATTCCCTGTGGAGACTATATTCTGATCTTAAATTTACTCATCACTTGGTGCAATTCTAGTGCACTTGCTAGTGTTAGATTGCAAACAACAGAGAGAAAAATGAAACTCGAGATATGAGGAAAAAGATGATGAACAGTACACAAAGATCTAAGGAAAAAGACAATAAACAATGAACAAAGAGTACAATAGCAGAAAAAGATAAAAATATTATCGAAACTAACATTTTTCTTTCAAAAAATAACCTACTCAAACATTTTTTAAAGTTAGAGGGATCAATTAAATCAAAATAAAATTGAAAGAACAAAATAAAAATTAACATTTATATTGAAGAACAAAAACACTAGTTTTGTCATAAAAATATTTAGTGACTAATTATATCAATCACTAAAATATTACAAAATTAGTAGTCACAAAGTTGATGACTGAATTTAGTAGCTAAAATAAATAACTAAAAAAAATTAAATTCAAAAATTTAAATATAAAACAATTTAGCAATTAAATAAGTGACTGAAAATTTTGTCTTAAAATAAAAATAAAAAAATTTTTAATTGTTAATTCATTCATTAAAACATAACTAATTATTTAATAATTAAAATAGCAACGAAATTCATAACTTTACTTTACAATCATAATTTTTATTAAATAATTTACTATATTTTAAGCAGATAAATTAACAATTAATTTCATATTCTATTTTTACAATTGAAACAATTAATCATAATTTGATTGCTGAATATGTTAAATAGTTTTTATCATGATAAATATAAGTTGTTAAATAGATCATAAACTGTGACTAACTTTAATTCGTTGCTAAATTTAGTCTTTAATTACTTATTTTCTTATATTATAAACTCTTTAATAATTATTAACATGGCTGTTTCTAACATGTACTGAATTACTATTATTTTTAGTTGCGATTTTGATCTCAATAATTGCCGTGTTTCTCAATATTTTGATGATTTCTACGGAAGCTAATTTTGTACTTTGATATTATTAACTTAAAATTTGGACAAGTTCTCCAAATTCTCAAAATCCCTGTGTAATGATCTTAGCTTTAACATCAACAGCACTTTATATCGAGGCAATATTTATATTTCTAAAAGACAGATAATGTCACGCTTCAGGCTCATTGCTTCAAACAATCCCAAGCGGTAAAGGTTCCTATGCCCAGAAATAATTAAATTTTGTGAAAGCAAAGTTAATTAAAGAAAGACAAAAAGAGAGCGAAAGGTGGGCAACGAAGTGAATCTAAAATGACTCTGCTCATTGAATCATAACCTATTAATAGTATTTTTTTAAGGATAGATTCATTTGAGTTAGTTGAACCAAGACATTGCCGATCTCGGACAATGACCCCTTTTGGCATTTACAATGACTAAGACTTGACCCCCAAAACTTGTCGTTATCTTCTTTTTTCTTTATAGATTAAAGATATATTCACTGCTTTAAAATTTTTGGTTAAACAATTAATAATATGTTTTTATTAAAAATTATGTTAATACGTACTGAAATTTATAAGGAGATATATTAACAATATCTTTTAATAAAAAATTTACTTTTAATCAGCATTTTTAAGATATTCATTGACGTTTTCATAGATTAACTTTTAATTTTACTATCATCAATTATTAGAATTAATTTTAAATATTTCAAAAATGTTTTTTAAAAAATATTTTTTGTACTTTTTAATATTTTTTATTTAACAAAATCAGTTTAGTATTTTTATTTTGAATTATTAAAAATATAGTAACATTTATATTTATTTTTTAATATTTTTTAAAACATAAAAATAGTAAAATTAACTTTGTTTGTTAATGAAAGTTTTACTCTACACATATATAAAAAGATAAATTAATTAAAGTTGACTTATTTACTTATTAAAAATTTAAATTTTCATATACTTGCTTGATTTTTATCACACAAATTATCATAATTTTTAATTTTTATTTTCATTTTCTCTTCTTCTGTTAATTGCAAACTGTTTTTGCTTTTCTGCGTAATACATAAACATAATCTTGATTTGCTTAATAGTATCAAACTTTATTGGTAGGAGTCCCATCCATATATACCAATAAAATCCTCCCTTACCTCCGCTTCTCTAGCAAACCTTGTTGGCTGTTTATATTAATTTCTCTCTCATACACATGATTGCTCCTTTCTTTTGCAGCCACGATCCCTGATAAATCATCAGCACAAGCGCGACAACTAATAATAGCCGTGCCAGTTTAGATAAATACAATCTCCGAACGGTACATTCATGAAAAACCAACGGATTTGTGAATTTCAATGTGGTTTTCCTCAAGCTGTGGGCTGACAGAGTACAAGGTTATTTTTATGTAAGGCGGAATTTCTCAAGGGTTTGAAGAGTAAGGAAGTGTTTGAAGTGTAAGGAAGAGAAATTCAATACTACATGCATGGTAAGGTTTTCAGTGATGCTTTTGGTTGTTCTCACTTTTTTCATTTTGGTGCTTCCAGTGATGTTGCCTCCTCTGCCTCCACCACCTTTGATGCTTCTTCTTGTTCCGGTTTTCATAATGGCGCTTCTCTTCTTGTTAGCCTTTTCACCTTCCAAAGTTCCAACCTTGGCTGTTGTTGCTGCTTGGTGTGTTTGAAGCTTTTAGCCGTTTTTTAATGATGCGCTGGAAAAGAAAGAAGATATGAAGAATGGATGCAAGAGAACAATAAATTGCTTCTGAAAATATAATTGCCCTTTTCAAATCTTTGCATGTGATCCTGAAAATGAATAAGAGGTGGATTCTGTGTTTATGATCTTTTCAGCTTGTTCTGTAGATAGATCAATAGGGCAATTTGAAGAGGTATTTTTCTTTTTTATGATTTGAGGTTTTTTTATTATTTATAGACATAATATTTTTTTAACGTTTTAATGCTGATATTCAATTAAAATTTAATTTCTATACTTAAACATTTTTCAAAATATTAAATGAAATTAGAATCCTAATTTATAACAGCACTTAAAAGAACATCTACTTTTTAATTAATAATAAATTTTTATTAAAAGTTATAATATTTAATATTATAAATATGTTAAATTTTATGATATACTATAATTTTAAACAAAAATTATTATATATAAATTATTATAATTTTTAACTATTGCCAAAGTTTTTCTATTTTTAATTCCTAGCGCCCCTTCTTCTTTGGTTCTCTCAAGCGGTGAAGCGATAAAATTGTTTTTAAACTAAACAGGTGATAATAGTTTTATTATTATTTTTTTGTTAAAAATTAAATGTTATAAACTTCATTATAAAAGCAACCCAAATATTTTAGTTGTAGTTAGGCCCTGGTTCTTTGTTTTTGGTGCTGTTGGAAAATACGGAACACTATGTTATTGAATCATAAGAATGTATTTTACTTAATTAAGAAAAATAAAAATAATGTGAATGCAAACTATTACATATGAAATTTTATGGCTTATATTTTATTTTAGCATTGTGAGTGTATAGGATCTTATGAACTGTTAATTCGACCATTTTCTTTCGGCGAGGTTTCTAAAATATATCAATTAATTTTCGCCCTACATGATTTTCTAAAATATATCATTACAATATATGGTTGAATAATAATAATACTAATAATAAATTCAGATTGACTTAGGAAAAATATTGATAGAAGTATTGAATTAAAAATTTAATATAACTTTTAATAAATTTAATCTAATATTAAGAAACATATTTATTAATATAATTTAATCTAATAAATTTTATTAATATTTCTCCTCGGCACGTTAACAAATTCCTGTTGTAAATTTTATTTTAGGAAAAATATTTTTTACAATTTTTTTCTGTATATGTTTCAAATATTAAGAGATTTTCTAATCTATCTCTTATCCAATGGGTTTTGATCATTTTTTATAAGTCACATGAATTACAAAAATTGTAAGATATATTTAATTGTGTATTGTTTGAGAATCAGCTTTGAGTGGTATTTAGAATACGATTCTATGACTCGACTAACTGTATCTCCTTTAGAAGGAAGTGGTCTCTTGAAGAAGAAAGATCATAAAAGCAGCCCGTTTAAAGAATTGCAAGAAGGTAAATATTTGATGGTATAAGCAAATTATCTAATAATATGTATTTTCTTATAATAATGATTAGATTATTTATTATTATATATTGCTGTTAAAAAATATGACTGTATATTGCACGGATTTTTATATATTTATTAAATTATTTTATTTTAAAAATTAAAAATTATATTCAAATATTAAAAAATATTTAAAAGAAAACTTAGAATATAGTTTTTTATTATGTTAGAAATCAATTAATTTAAATTAAAAAATATTAATTTATTATTTTAAAATTTAAAAAATATATAATTTTTTTTTATTAAATATATTTGTAAAATGCACATGCGTTGCACAAGTTTACTTAATATTTTTATTAATTTTTTTTAAAAAATAATTTAAAAACTATATTCTAAATATAAATAAATATCTTTCAAAAACAATTATGATATAAATTTTATTATTTTTAATGGTTTAAAAATAAATAAATTCTTAAAACTATCTTGCATGTAAATTTATAATATTAAAATACCTATTTTCTTTTACTTTAATTATTGATTACTAGATAAAAATAAATGAATAAATTTAAATATAAGTATATTATTTTATTATTATTATATATTTTTTTAAAATTATACTGTCATGACTGTGAATAAAAATACATTAATTTTTTTATATTTATTATTATAAAAATAAATCATCTTACAAAATTATTCTATATATAAATTGATAATAACATAATATTGTCAATTTTTAAGTTTAGTTATTGGTCACTACATAAATTATCACTACAAAAAATTAAAAAATAAAATTAAATACTATATAATTTATAATTTTAAAAATTCAAAGAAAATGTTCTATATTATTTGATCATATAATAAAATTACTGGTCATAGTAATTTTAAAAAGAAATCAAATACGTTAAATAATTTGTTAAATATTACAAATGAATTATAAAATTTAAATAAACAACTTTTAATTTTTGGCCTGGACATTTGTTTATATATATTTTTTAGGTAAATATAGGGTACATCACTCATTTATTATTATAATTTAAAATTACTAATGAAAATTTTAACTATATAAATATTAAATAATATTTAAAAAATATTTCATCAGATTAACAATAATAAATATAAATAAAAGTAAAAAAGACAACAATTAAATTACAAAAAAATTTAAAATAAATTTATTATATTAATGTCATAATTTTTTAAAGTAAGTATCATAGAATTTAGTAAATAATTAATTCAATATAAAAAATTTATATAGTTTAGGTTCCTAAAATTTAAAGAATGAGGATATTAATACAGTTTGTTAATTATTTATCATTTTAATTAAGAATCAATAATAAAAGTTTAACTATATGATAATTAAATGATAAATAATAATAATAATTAATTTAAGTGAAAGCAAATGGACAATAATTAAATTTTAAACATAAGCAAAACAAATATATTAGTAAACTCAAGGAAAGAGATGAAATTGGTATACTTAAAACTCTTAGAGAAAGTAAAAAAAGACATAGGTACAAGTACTTACCAGTTCTACGGTATGGTTCTGAATAGTTGGCGAAAGGATGTGCGATCCTAAGTTGGCCAAACCCGGTGTGTGTGATTGAGACAGTGACATCCCAAAATATACATGACTATTTAGAAAGAAAATGTGTGTAAAACCACAACTTCCTTCACACGAAGTTATTTTATAATTGTTGTTGGTCAAGGATGGGGAAGACCTTGATGTCTAGGAGATTTAATGGAATTGGGTGACTTATCAATAGCTTTATGAGTAATGTTAGGCCCGATCCTCTAGCAAAAAATCTCTGTGTGATGCTCTTTTTATCTTTACTATTCGGAGGCTTATCAAGTTGGTTGAGTTAGATCAGTCTGTAGAGGTTTGAACCCCCACCATACATAAAATTTTTAGGCTGACTAGCAAAACTCCCAACAACTTTCAAATAATAAAATTGTTAAGGATCTAAAGTTGCATAAGCATAAAAATGAAAATTTTAGCAAACAAAGAGTTATCATTTGCAATGATCATGCATAATGTAGTTAGACTTGTATTTTATTACAATTGTTTTGATGAGATGTATGGTCATTTTACTTTTTTTTTTCTGAATATTATTTCTTGGAAATATATCTCATTCCTTGTTTTCCTTGTTGATATGTGTTGTGGTGTTAGATATCATTTAGTTGTTGCAAATTTTAAGGATGATGTTTCCCTGTCATTTTCTCCATGTTGAGCTAAAATTTGATGAATGCCACAGAAAATGGACTGCACACCTGACTCGTGCATTGTAATAAGCAAATTAAACTGAATAGCAACTATAGCATAGTAAGCAACTTAGATTGTTTGCCAAATGCACTATTTGATTAGAAAATCTAGGGATTTTATTCATCAAACACGTGGAATGCAAATGTGTAGAAATCAAAGAAAAATAAAGATTAATAAGTAATATCTGAATTAAGAGATCCAATCCAAGACACTAGAAAGAGAACACAATCTCAATCATTGGATTCTAACTATGTGCAACACTCCAATTTAGTGATTAGCCTTAGAATTAAATGAAACCACAATCTAAATCTAGCATTCACATGGTAAACTCCATGCATTCAACCAATTATACAATCAATTTGATTAAAAACCTCTAAAACCAAATTGAATTGAATTCGTTTCAAACACCAATGCAACTAATCTTATGCTCAGATCTGAAACATTATTCACACTCCTTCAACAATTAAATCACATATATCAACTAAATTATACATGAATTGAACATTCCTAATCAACATTCAAGAATGAAGAACTTCAACCGTCTGTAAAATTGAGAATTAGAGAAGGAGAGATGAAACCAAATTGATGTGGCATCCAATTGATGCACCAATTCTCCAGAGTTTAATTGCTTCCCTTGATGTCTTGGATCAGAGAATCACTCCTCCATTAATGGAGAAGAATGAGAGAAAGAGAGAGCTTTCTATCTTTCAAAATCAAAAACTTAAAAAATGGAGAAAAAGTCTCCTAAAATCTGTAGTTCGAGCTATTTATATGTTTCATGTACCTCTGGAATGATCACTCATGTCACCTAGAGTGGCTATATGCAACAAGTCTCCTTATGATGTGCCTTTAGAGTGATCATTCTTACTCTTGAAAGTGGTTATGTGAAGCAAGTCTCTTTTTGCTGTGCCTCTAGAGTGACCACTTCCACTACCGAAAGTGGCTACGCATGTAATACCTTAATTTATTTTCAAATATTTTTCAATGAGATATTTTTGCAAGTAAAAAGAGGATAATAAAAATTTCATTTCAAATGACTTTGAGTACAATGTTTCAATAAAGTATTTCAAAATAGGTGATGGGTTATAAATTTGAACCAAAATAAATGCCATAGGACTCATTGATAGTCATATTTTAATGCATCTTTCTCTCTATGTTTTCGATTTAATTGAGTCTTTTTAGTATATTATTTTGATGTGTTAGTTTAGATTTGTGTTGGTAAGTCATTTAGGATTTAAATTTAAATCTTTCTTAATTCCCGCCATAAATTCTTGTTTTGACACAGTTTCTTGAAAAGACCATATCTGGAGCTACACTACTCAGAATTGGACAAAATTGGTGTCCCTGGAAAGATAAGAAAGAGACCTACAACTTCTCTGTTGCGAGAAAAGCCCAGTTCGAACATCTTCAGGCCCAAAACTGCGTCACAATGTTGCGGTCCTGCAATGAATTTTTCAGAATTTGGTTTTATTGTTGACATTACTTAATTAGGGTTTTAGGAACCTCGTTAGGAAGCTGGGCCTTAATTAAGCCCAATTATTTTGTCTTCTTTAAATAGGGTTTATGATTTCGCGTGGGGATATTCTTTCCTCTTTTTTGCCTTAATTTTCAGAATTTTAAGTAAAAAGCTTTCTTAAGGATTCCTCTCGTCTCCCTCTCTTTTATTTTCGGAAACTTCATCCCCTTCTCTAATTGGTCGAGCAACATGATTATGAAGCAAGGCTAATTCATCAACCGGTTCAAGGTTTCAAAAACTACATTGCATTCGAGTTTCAAAATAGGTTTTATCGAATTCCTCCTTTCCTTCCTCTTTTCTAATTAGGTTAATTACGTTTTTCATGATATGGAATTTTCGTTTCATCCTAATTAGAAAGAATAGGCTAATTTCAGATTTGAATTAATTGGATTCACCTGATTTAATCAATCAATTGTTCTAAAATTTGTTAAAGCATTGGGTTTGCGATTGCGGTTCTTGTTTTGATGGAATTCATAATCTAGATTTAGATTTTAGGGTTGTTGATGCGCATTGAATTAGTGTGATTAGAAATTCGTTGGGATCATATTTGTGTGAACGACGAGAATTGCATTGTAGGGATTGAGATCTTGAATTGGTTGAATTTCATAATCCTTAATTTTCGTTTTTGTTATTTTATCGTTTAAATTCAAAACAAATCCTCCCCCAATCTAATTTGAAATTGCATGATGGAACTAAAAATAAAATGCATTTTATGTCCTTGAGAGATGACCTAGGTTTGCTTCTTGTATTGCACAAATTTTTGAGAAAATCTAGCTTGTTTGATACAATTGCGACGTGGTTATCACTCATTCAACAAGTTACAATTTTCAAAATAAATTCTAAGTCCTATAGCAGTGTCATCCATCTCATTCACTATGATCGTCTTGGTCACCTGAAAATTAAATTTAAGGGTGAGTCCTCTACACTATCATAAACACGACATGAAGACTCATCCAACACGCACTCCCAGTTCATTGTGATCACATATACCGATGCCTCCAGCCCTTCTCGAGGTCTTACTCAACTAGTTAAATAGTCGTTGGTTAGCCTATGTACAAGGATACAACATGTACAATAATCGGACCCCTTAGCAAAGGCATAGTCAGGAGTCTAGTCAGGAAACGAGTGTAAGGCCATGTGACGCATTCGCTCTTAGAAAGAGTGTGTACACATACGTGAATGTTGCCCACCACCCTACGTCTCCCCCAGATTCTCATAATCTCTTGACTCTATACCCCTAATGTATCTCTGTAAT